CCCTCCCTCCCTCCCTCCCTCCCTCCCTCCCTCCCTCCCTCCCTCCCTCCCTCCCTCCCTCCCTCCCTCCCTCCCTCCCTCCCTCCCTCCCTCCCTCCCTCCCTCCCTCCCTCCCTCCCTCCCTCCCTCCCTCCCTCCCTCCCTCCCTCCCTCCCTCCCTCCCTCCCTCCCTCCCTCCCTCCCTCCCTCCCTCCCTCCCTCCCTCCCTCCCTCCCTCCCTCCCTCCCTCCCTCCCTCCCTCCCTCCCTCCCTCCCTCCCTCCCTCCCTCCCTCCCTCCCTCCCTCCCTCCCTCCCTCCCTCCCTCCCTCCCTCCCTCCCTCCCTCCCTCCCTCCCTCCCTCCCTCCCTCCCTCCCTCCCTCCCTCCCTCCCTCCCTCCCTCCCTCCCTCCCTCTCTCTCTCTCTCTCTCTCTTTCACACCTGAGGCAAGGCCGCCGCCCTCTTAAAGGGGTTCTTTAAAACACCGATGGGGGTCGGAGGTGAGGGTTATGACAAAGCTTAACGGAAACTTATGCTTCTGACTAAAAAAAGAAAGAAAGAAAGAAAGAAAGAAAGAAAGAAAGACAGAAAGAAAGAAAGAAAGAAAGAAAGAAAGAAAGAAAGAAAGAAAGAAAGAAAGAAAGAAAGAAAGAAAGAAAGAAAGAAAGAAAGAAAGAAAGCTTAACGCAAACTTATGCTTCTGACTTAAAAAAAGGATTGCGAGAAATGCCAACGAATTCCATCACATGTCCTATTTACAAACAATTCGGCTTGCGGCTTGGAAGGGGCGAAAGGGAGGGAGGAACCCCAGGTTACACTGGAACCGTGTACATGCACACGAACGTGTATACACAAACGTGAACACACACACCCGCAAATATGTACACAAACGTGCACATACACACACAGCCCCCCCGCAAACATGCACATACATACACACACGCCAACATGCACATACACATATACACATACCCCCCCCCCCCCGCCAACATGCACATACACACATACACACACACCACACACACACACGCCAACATACACATACACACACACCACACACGCCAACATACACTACACACACACACACACACCACACACACACACACACACACACCACACACACGCCAACATACACATACACCACACACACACACACACGCCAACATACACATACACACACACACACAACACACACACACACGCCAACATACACATACACACACACACACACACGCCAACATACTAATACACACACACACACACACGCCAACATACTAATACACACACACACGCCAACATACACATACACACACGCCAACATGCACATGCGCACACACACACACACACACACACACACACACACACGCCAACATGCACATACACACATACACACACACACACGCCAACATGCACATACACACATACACACGCCAACATGCACATACACACACACACACACGCCAACATACACATACACACACACACACACACAACGCCAAACATACACATACACCACACACACACACACGCCAACATACACATACACAACACACACACACACGCCAACATACTAATACACACACACACACACACGCCAACATACTAATACACACACCACACGCCAACATACACATACACACACGCCAACATACACATACACACACACACACGCCAACATACACATACACACACGCCAACATACACATACACACACACACGCCAACATACACATACACACACACACGCCAACATACACACACACACACACGCAACATACACAACACACGCCAACATACACATACACACACACCACGCCAACATACACATACACACACACACGCCAACATACACATACACAACACACGCCAACATACACATACACACACACACGCCAACATACACATACACACACACGCCAGCCAACATACACATACATACACCACACGCCAACATCTAACATACACACACGCCAATCAGTACACATCACCACACACGCCAACATACACATACACACGCAACATACACATACACACACGCCAACATACACATACACACACACGCCAACATACACATACACACGCCAACATACACATACACACACAAACACACGCCAACATACACATACACACACAAACACACGCCAACATACACATACACACACACACCAACATACACATCACACACACGCCAACATACACATTACACACACACGCCAACATACACACACACACACGCCAACATACACATACACACACGCCAATATACACATACACACACGCCAATATACACATACACACACACACGCCAACATACACATACACACACACACGCCAACATACACATACACACACACACGCCAACATACACATACACATGCACACGCACGCCAACATGCACATGCACACGCACGCCAACATGCACACGCACGCCAACATGCACATGCACACACACACACGCCAACATACACACACACACGCCAACATGCACATGCACACACACACACACGCCAACATACACATACACGCCAACATGCACACACACACATACACGCCAACATGCACACACACACATACACGCCAACATGCACATACACACATACACACGCCAACATGCACACACACACACGCCAACATGCACATGCACACACACACACGCCAACATGCACATGCGCACACACACACGCCAACATGCACATGCGCACACACACACGCCAACATGCACATACACACGCCAACATACTAATACACACACACACGCCAACATGCACATACACACGCCAACATGCACATACACACGCCAACATGCACACACACACGCCAACATGCACATGCACACACACACACGCCAACATGCACACACACACACATACATATACTTCATGGATTACGGTTCAACGATCTGAATAAAAGCAGCCGAGTGAATTTGCCGATCTCGCCTTGCTTTCCGTCTAGTTCTGCTTTCGTCTCCCACTCCAGATGAACCTACTATCAATATGAAAACCTGTCCAGCTTGTTAAAAAATAAAAAAGTGCAACCCGTAACTGTCACAGGAGCTCGAGCAGGCAGGCAGGCAGACAGATAGACTACAGACATTAAATATTACATATAAATTTGAATCTTCAACGTGTACAGCCGCATGCACAATCAAAGGCACAAGTACAAACACCACGCATGCACACGTAAGCCAACACACACACGTGCGGTTGGTACCCCTGCTTGCTGTCCCCTATCCCCTCCTCTGTAGCAACAACAGGGGTTAACAACACCTGTTACTCTAAGTACAGTCAATCCCTGTACTTTCAACATACAAGGCGCGATTGCAGCACAACTTTAATCACGCCTTGTTTTTGAATGTCTAAATATAGGTCCACGTGATAGATCGGTAATATTAACTGGAAAAAAAACAAGATGAGTTTACCATTGATATTCCTCTTGCATGTTATCCTCGGTATACAAGTTACCTAATATAGGAAGCGACAATGTAACGAGAAATGCTCAAACGTTCAGCAAAAAACGTTTAGGCCTAAACGGGAACATCATTCCCTTTCCCTGCCTATCTCCGCATCCGCCCTCTCCTCTCCTCCTCCTCCGCCCCTTCATCTTTATTGCTCGCTTAGTTTTGGGATATCTCTCCCTCTCTCTCTCTCTCTCTCTCTCTCTCTCTCTCTCTCTCTCTCTCTCTCTCTCTCTCTCTCTCTCTCTCTCTCTCTCTCTCTCTCTCTCTCTAAAACAATTTCAAAATATCTACTTAAACTTTGTATCTCTTCTTCGTTAATGTCCGTTTTCCCGATTTATATGCCTCTTTTGTTTATTGAAAGAACTCTTACCTTATGAGACAAGACCAAGGTATGGAAATCTTCAGCATCAAGAAAAAATAGTTGCAAACACGAATTAAACCAGATTAGTTAGTCAATGAAATTTAATATGAATGGAATGATCGTCTGGGAAACATTGTCTGCAACTTTCCTTCGTTGTATTCTCTTTCCCCAGGGAACCGCGCCCTTTAGAGAAAAATACTGTATTTAATGGAACATATATATTTAACACCAAACGCTTTGAATACTCATAAGAGCCGTTTTGTAAATATTACCCAAGTTTATTCACAATTCAACAAAAAATGTAAATTTTTAAAAAACCTGTGTCACTGCAGTTAAGGCGACATGCATCCATCCCAGTTAATGGCCAATCAGCCACACGCAAACGGACTGCATAGTAATCAATCACATGAATGCAACATTAACTTCGCTCGGAGTAAACAGACATGGAAGGGTTTCATTACGTGTTAGATTTTGATAAGGTTTACTGTTGTGTGGAATAACTGTAGCAAGAATTCATTTTGTAGTTATTTATATGTAGTCTTTGGTCAAGTAGCAAACCTTACTTAACCACATACTATAAATAACCGAAATGGCAACACCCGCCGGTGGATGAAAATATATTAATGCTTCAACCTCTTTCCACACTGATATCAGACATAGCCCTAGCCCTATTTCCCTTGCAATAATTATCGATTTCCTTGCTGGGCGAGATGCCTCTGACCGTCGCCTGAATAAACCTCTGTCGTCTTGTCGCTACTACAGACCCGTCGGTTCTGTCTCTTACGCGCTCATTTTTTCACTTAAATCAATGTCATTCCCAACTAAAGACTACATAAAACACAAGGGGAAAATAAACTCTCGGCACTTACCGTCGAGCTGCAAAAGAAAATTTCAAAAGGAGATGGCAAAAGAAGAAATCCCGATGAGACCTAGCGTCGCCTCCTCCAGCCCGGCCGCAGCTGGAGATTCTCGTCCGACTCCGTCCTGCGCACAGAGGCCAGCGCCGGCCGCGCACCTTTCCATTCTCGCTTTTTAAATGCATCCCCTTTAGAACTGTCTCTTTATCACAATACTGGTGATAAAACAACAATAATTATTAATCAAGACATATTATATGTACCAAAAACCTCTCGTGCGTAATAAGAATAACATCTATAAATACGGCGGTGTAGCCGGGGGGGGCATTCGGGAAGGTGCATCGCCCAGGCCGTGCGAAGTGGGCAGCGGCGGAGAACGTCTCCTGTCTGAGCTCGGGGTCGGGTCGCGCCGGACTTACGCCACTGACGCCTCCTTCAAACAACTAATTCTCCACCATGACTTCCACGCTTGTCAATGTAGCCAAGGCTGCCCTGGCGTCGGTGCCCAAACAAGGCAAAGTCGCAGTTCCCACGATCCTCAGCCAGCGATCCTGTAAGTGTGATTTTATACATTACGTATTTTTTCATCATTTTCACACTATACTTATGGTCACAGTGTATAGTTGTCCTGTTGGGTGATAACGAGTCGAGAAGGATCGAAATGTGCTAGGGATGTCGAGAGCGAGCACTTATTAATACTAAGATGAGAATAAGTGTATGCTTTAAGCTCTTTATGCACTTGAGACTTGTCATTTATCATGTTAGCAAGGGGAGTTTCTCCTCGTGTCACACATATTAATGATAAGTAAAGGAAATTCCTTGTACCATAAACAACCCTTGTGTGTATATAACGGCAGTTACACCATATATTTAATTGTAGTTATTAAATGGACTCGGCTATAATGGCCACTTATAATGCGGTCGCTCTGAACATATTAAACCGGTCGTTACATAGTCACTGCAAATATTGAACAAACTTGAAAGTTGTGAAATGGTTTCGTTCAGATGCTTTCATAGCATGGAATAAACGCAATGGAATTATCATGATTTAAACTTTGACGGGCACACCTGTGGCCAAATCATATTCTAATTTACATCAACTGGCTGATATCGTTATGAATGGGTTTCCGCATTGCTGTAAGTGCACTTAGGGTAGCGAGAATCGTATAAAATCTGTCATGCACAGTGCATTCGAGTCGTGAACTTGCAGAGTGGCCGTTCTCAAGCGTCTGGGTGTGAACATAATTGGATACTTCCAGTGCACACCAGTACGGCCAGCTTCTTTCATTATAAATCGTAATAGTTAATCCCGTAATGTCAAATCCCCGTGTTTTATTGAGTGTGGAGATGTATTTCATTTGAACTGTCAGGCGCCGAGTGTATACGTGACTGGGAGAAGGGTGTGTGCGTACGTATGTTGCTTTGCACGAGCCCGCCCTCCCCCCTCTTTTCTCTACTCTTGCCTCTCCCACTCTTCCTCTCGTCTCCACCCCCTCTCTCCCCCCTCCTTTGGCCGCACGCCATTCTCAACCTTCTCTTGCTCTCGCTGCTCGTATCCCTTTTCTCTCTCCCTTCTTACTAATACTGCCATGGCAACTATTTTCCGTATCCCTGTAGTGTGATTTGTCCATTTCATCCTGTTTTATTTAGATATCTTGAGTTCGATTCTCTATATTTACCCTTCCATTATTTGTTATCCCAGTTCGGCATATTGGTCATTGATTTGTGTGATATCAAGTGTGCCCCGGCCGTCTGATAACGGCGTTGTTTCACTGACACGGCTTACCCCCCGAGGGAGAGGAGCCGGTCTTTGAAACTTCACTACCACCCCCACCCCCGATAGGCATTAATCTTTGCTCTTGTTCCTCTTGCGATATCTACCCTTTCCGAGAATTTCTCTGCTTGGAAGACGAAACGAGAGCAGACGCACGTAGGTCGGTAACCTCGTCTGTTCGGAATAGATTCACAGATGTTAAAGACAAGGGGAAGTGGCGTCGGGTGTTAGAGGGGGGGGGGAGAGTGAAGGAGGGGAAGGGAGGGAGGGACAGACAGACGCCTTGAGGGGTCCAGTGAGCGAAAACAACTCTGTTGCTCTGGGCCGTTGTTTGGCATCAGGTGTGGGCAGTTGAGAGATTAAAATAATTCGTTATTACATGCATAGACCATAGAATTATGATATAGGATTAGCGACTTGTAAAAGGTTTACGATGTCGGGAGTCGGCCTAATCGCAATGTAAACAGGCATTTTAGAAAGGAGAACGTGTTCATGTTGTAATCTATTGCGCTAAAGCATGCACCTTTTAGCAACATGACAATGCATCATATGTTTTTGTTTTTGTTTTTTTTATCCCGCCGGTTGATGGGATTAAACGCATTTTTTTTTTTTTTAGACAAATCTCCTGGGTTTTCATTGAAATGATCAGTTTACTAGAAAATACTTTTTTTTCAATATTTTGTCCTAGATGGGCTAATGTGATGTACTTGAACGCGTAGTTGGGGTACTTTTACACTCGCATCGGTTGGCACGCCTGATGTAGGATGGAAGCCGGTACCCAGTCAGATGTTTACTATTGGGCAATGCTAGTAGATAAAGATAATGATGCTGGAAGTTTGTAAGGGGAAACATTAGAGTTCAAACTTATGTATATTTTTTAGTTTTATGACGTTAATAATTAATATTTCACTTAAGTTTTTTTTATATAATTAAGCGAGTTTTATTATTGTACTTTGTTTTAACATCTTCATGTTTGGGCCTACTTTTAAATTTCTCTTAGTATCACCAATATCCATTCCTTTACCCTATTTCAACTATTTAGTTCATGGATTCTTTGCGTGGCAGCAAACCCCATAGCTTGTATGGCAGCTGTTGCTAGGTAAAGTAGGATTTCAGGCTGACCTTGAAGGAGGCGGGAACATTTTAAAATCCCCGAGGGATAGGCCTAAATGCGCGTTCCTTGGCGAATTGTCGTTTGCAGGTATATAAACTACTGTAACTCTACGTGTCGGGAGATATCTTTTATATAGTTTGTATAGATTATGAATAGTATTAAGTAGTTGTAAAATTTACAAGTCTTTAAAAACAGATAAATGAAAAAAAATAAAATAAATAAAAACGGTAACATCGGCGGTAACTTGATCTGAAAGAGGAGGGGAGAAAAGGCAAAGACGAAGAGGATAAGGGAGATGAGGACTCTGCCGGCTTGCCCACAACTTACCGGCTTCTAGAATTTCGTAATAGATTTGAGATTTTTCAATAGTTTTATGTCGCTCTTATCATTACTGTTAAATTTATCTTGCTGATTCAAATGGTGTAGTGTAAAGATCTATTAATAGTAGCCAATTATTTTAAAAGCTGGTGTTTGGTTATGGTTGTGTGTTTTAGGGGGGGGGGTCTTGGAGTTGTTAAAACGAATAGGCTAATATCTTTTGCATTCAATTCCCTTTTCACGCGTTTCCTGTAAGAAAAAATCCTTTTATCACTTGTACTTAGATGACCCTCGTTAAAAAGATGTGATGTGATAAGAGCTGATAGTAGTACTACCTTGAGTGGTCAAACAAGCACTCGAACCGATATTAACTGGAAATTACCAGCGGTCGCTCCATTCATAAACTCCGCCCTCCCCCTCCCCCCCCCACCCTTTTAAGTTAAGAAGTACTAATAATTTTGTTTACATTTTCCAGCGCCCTTTTTTGAGTTTAATGGGGGGGGGGGGGTTCTATCCACCTACTCTTATCTGAGTCTAATCTGTTATCTACGTGGGGAAGACCTGGTTAAGAGAAACTTTCGACTTGCAGCATCCCGTTTCTTCACGTCAAATGTTAAACATGTGAAAGTTAATTTGAAGAACGCCGTTAAATCTAAGCATTGCCGCTATTTTTTCATTTGGTTTTCAATCCAGGATGTGCGAGTGACTGAAATTTCGCAGCAAACTACAGCACAATACCGCTTATTAGAACTTGTTAGGAAAGGATGAGGGGAAAGGGTTGTTTGAGTCGCTGAGGAGTATGGGTTGACTTGAATATTATCGTAATGGTTCTTGGCATCTGGCATTGGCACCTCCCTTTGCTTCTGGCAGTTGCTTTCGCCCTCGGAATATCTTGCTCGTGTGATCATGGCTGCACCCGCTACTACCATACCACTGTAGGAGTATGGGTATACGTGTACCTGCAGCTATAAATGTCTTGTGAAAAGTTCGTTTAAATGTCTGAAAGTTGCATGAATTTGTCGTCCCCATTAGTGGAAGACTTGAATATCACACCTAATAGCCGTGCAGACTAGTGTCTATATAAATACTTCTATGTCTTGGAAGTGTTCAAACAGGTAAAATGCTTTCCTTTGCAGATGTCAGTCGGTATGATTATTTGGCAAGTTTCGTTGGCACTTGAAAATAGTACTATAAATATACACCCCCTGTGCTTCCTTAAATATGACTAAGATACTACTTCCACGGCCCGTACTTTTTTTTTAACGGAAACACGTGGTGCTGTATGTAAACAAAGGCGTAGCACTCCCATATTAAACCTGTGGTCTTTTCTTTTTTTCTACCATAGAAACGAACTCGTGGATTGTTATACTTTATTGCTATTTTAAGAAATGCCTATTGTTATTACTGCAGGAAGTTTGTGTGCTATTTTAGGCGGGATGAAATATTAAACGGAGCAGGATTTCTCCCCGACAAGGACGATGTGTATTGATTTAGTTTCCGAAGCTTCCTTGCTATATTTAGATACCTGCAAGATAATCGAAGGAAAAAATATTTTGAAGTCCGTGTGTCTGTCTAGGGCGTCCTGTTACGCCCGCTATCCCAACTCATGAATGTAGACATAGGACGGTCTGGCAGTCGGACTTACCCCTTTAATACAGCCACCACCGGATTGTTGCCACTGGACTGACTTCGTTGTGTGTTTTGGCGAGGAAGAAAACGCAGGTCTTGGTTGAAATTTGGTTATTCTTGGTTTTGGTGGGATTTGGTGTATAGACTTTTTGATAGTCGGTTTGTGAAGTTGAGTTGTTGGTCATTTATGTAAAACCGGGGGCCTTCAGGAGTATTATTAGGAAATCCGAGAATTGTTTTGCCATTTCTTAATACGAGTTGATATTAGTAAGCACATTACAGATGTCAGTCAGAAGCGGCAGTAGTTAGCCCTGAGCATTTGCCAATATAACTAGTCAGAAAAAAGGGGTCGTCCGTCACAATATTTTAATTTATACCAAAGGGGTATACTCTGGATAGGCGCCAGTAGCAATGACGCAGATGAACATGCTTGACGTCACTATGACATGGCCTGTGACTACTGTCAAGGTCTTAAGATGTTTGTGATATGAAGTAACCATGTGCAATTTATTTATATATTTATTAATCTGTCAAGAGGGGATAGAGTACGCGGTGGTTCTTGGCGTGAAAAGCCCATTTACTCTAAAGGGTTGGGTTTGCGTGAGTAGTCTTAACACGCAGAACGGGAACGGGGTCGTGACTCAGGCGCCATTCCTTGCAAGATAGGCTGGGAATCTTTTAGATATGCAGTTGCGTATTTTCCCCCTTAATACAAGATTCGTTGGACTATGAATTACACCATTGCATCTTCAGTTCCAATAAGTAGTGTTAAAAGATAAAGGAAAGACCTTGCCTCGTTACCTGCCTGTTAAACACCCGTTCAAGAGGAGACCACGTCTTGATTGACTGTCTTTAGCCTTTTTCTTTATTGTAAGCGTGGGCTAAACTCCTCGCCCAGCAATTGGCCTATTTCGAGACTCCAGACCGGGGATAGAGAGAAACTGCCATATGCTTCGAGGGTTTTATTAAATCCCTAGTAACACGGCCTTCATTTTAGGTTCCTTATTTCGCGTGGAACTTGCCGCGAATGTGATCCTTTGTTGGGGAGTTGTGTTGCTACCTGGTCAGCTGTTTGTCCGTGTTCATGTATTGAGTTAATTTCATGCTGATCACGAACGATTTTTTTATGTAATTACTGTAGTTTTGTTAGGTTTGTTTTTGTGGTCAATACATCGCGAGACCTCTAAATCATAAAATCATTTGGATAGTAAATGCGCGCTCCCGTTTGTTCCGGCGAGATGGGTTACCGGTTAGTAGAAAGGTCATTCGGTACGCGGTCGTTGGGGACAAGGTTGAAAAAAAAAAGATGGGTTACCGACCGTCTTGTAAGCCTTAGCGAGATGGAAGGTGGCTGGCCTGGCACTTGTTTGACATAAGAAAAAACTCACGTATCGGTACTGTCAGTTAGTTGATCAACCATCGTCTTTAAAATGTCGTTTTAAAGCTAGGTTGACGTCATCGTTTGAAACCTGGTTAGGAGATGCGTGGTAATGAGAGAACACTAAGGGTTTTCTTAACTATTGAGAAATGATCGATAATTGAGCCCCAGGAAGCAGGGAAGAGCTTGGGGAGACGCCGGCATGGTTGAGATATATATAACAGTGGGTTGTGGATACCGGTCTCTTAAATTAAACGTTAGCCTAAATCCATCGCCAACCAGCCTTTTAATGATAAGGGAGAAGATATGGGCGTGGGAATAGAAAGATGTTGACAGCGGACTTCTAAATTCATTTTGAAATGGCATTACCCTTGACCATGAGTTTCTCTCGGCAAATACTTGGAAATGAGTCGGTGTAATTTGCGTTAATGCAATCAGTGCTAATTGCGCTTCATTGCACAATATGTGCGTCTTTTGGTTGTCTGGGATGGCAAAACCTTTGTGCAGTATACGAGCGTGTTGAAACCCGGTCCAGTGTTAGGGTTGGTAGGCCTGTCATCCCCCTCCCCCCCCAGCTGATTGTGACGCCGCCGCCGGGAAAAGAGGAATATTGTACTGGCATGGCGTTTATCAGCATGGAATTTTTTATAGTTTCTTCTGCTACAACCTTTTAAAAATGCGAAAGATTTTTTTTGGTTTTTCTCAACCAGCGTGCAAGTCTCCGCCCTTAGGCCTAATCCAAAGATGTTTGGCGAATCCTTTTTTTTTCTAGCCTACCTTCATTTTAAGTCTCTCCATCCTCGAGTCGTGTATCACCAGGGTTGTCCATCCTCCAAGCAGCCGGCTTTTCATAAGGAGTATTTAGCTCATGTTCGCCGCGGCCGCAATTGGGCGCAGTGGTGTAAGGGCTCACCGGCCGGCGACCAGTTATTGCCAACTCCTACCTTGGCATTGGTTGGCACGGCGCCTCGCCCTCGCCGCTCTCCCTCTCCACTCTTTACCTGTTGCTGCTTTTGAGAATGTTGGAAAGGGGGAGTGCTTGCGTGCCCATGTGCTCTGCCTCTATCTCGCGCGCGCGCACTCAAATATTCTAGCACGAGGTGAAAAATAACTACTATAAACAAACTAAATTGATTTAATTTCGTAAAGCACGCGGACACGCACATGTACAGTATACACATTCGTATATATACACACATTTGTACATGTATGCATACATATGTACAAGCATACATGCATGCATACATACATACATGTACATGCATCTATGCTTGTACATGCATGCATACATAAATGTACATGCATCTATGCTTGTACATACATGCACACATACATACATACATACATACATGCACATCCATCTATGCTTGTATGTCTGATGCCATTCTCTCTCCCCCAACAGATTCTGCCGACAAGCGTATTGAGGTGGCGAACCCTGTTGTTGAACTTGATGGCGATGAGATGACACGTATCATCTGGGAGAAGATCAAGGAATCTTTGATCTTCCCTTACCTCAAGGTTGGATATTGCATAGCACTCATCATTGTTATTCTTTCCTTTTTAGTTCTCTTCCCCTCTCCCCCCCCCCCATATCCTATTTAATATTTGACTTTCATTCCACATGTCTTGAAATATCCCAATTGAGAAGTTAAGTAACTGATTACACCATTAACCTTCCAGATCGACTGCAAGTACTATGATCTCGGCCTCCCCTATCGTGATCAGACTGATGACCAGGTCACCATTGATGCTGCTTATGCCATTAAGAAGTACAATGTTGGAATCAAGTGTGCCACCATTACCCCTGACGAGCAGCGAGTGGAAGGTGAAATGTGGAAATGTTTTTGATTTCTCTTGAATAGTGTGTAATATTGTAATACAGGAATTTTGTTTGGTTAGTCATGAAGGCCTTCGTTTTGGAATTTTGATTTTCAGTGCAAGTTGTCTATAGCGTCTTGTTAAGGTTATTTAAATAGGTCCATTACTGTAAGTTCTTATTGCCCTTATAGCTAATAAGGATAGAATGAAATTTATTACCTAATGCTCACATATGCAATATGATTTCACATGCTGAACTTTTCCCCAGAATTCAAGTTGAAGAAGATGTGGCTAAGTCCTAATGGTACCATCCGTAACATCTTGGGTGGCACTGTATTCCGCGAGCCCATCCTCTGCGAGACCATTCCTCGCCTGGTACCCGGCTGGACCCAGAGTATCATCATTGGCAGACATGCCCATGGAGACCAATACAAGGCCACCGATGTAGTCATTCCCAACAATGGAACAGTAAGTTAGCCCCTTACACAAGTTGAAAATAAATCCACCGCAGAAATACAAAGGATGTTGGTTATTACCAGTAAACATGATTTCCAAATGTAGGATTGAAATTTGAGTGACTTATCAGCCTTAGGCCTTGATTTAGGAGACTTTATATGCCAAGAGTCTTTGGGAATTTAACCTTTGTCCTTTGAATAACCTAACTTCACTTTTTACTGACAGGTGGAGCTGGTTTACACCCCAGAGGGTGGTCAGCCAGAGAGGATGAAGGTCTTTGACTTCAAGAATGGTGGTGGTGTTACCATGGCCATGTACAACACAGACGAGTCTATCCGTGCCTTTGCACACTCCTCTTTCCAGGTACAAAGTGATAGTATAACATGCAAACGTTTGTGCTTGTATAGTGCAGTACTTTTGCAATAGAGGGGAGGGGTGATGAAATTCTGAAGGGGGAATAAACTTTTATCCCCTCACCAGGTTGCTCTGGCAAAGGGATGGCCCCTGTACATGTCTACCAAGAATACCATTCTCAAGCGGTATGACGGTCGCTTCAAGGACATCTTTGAGGAAATTTACGAGGCTGAATACAAGGTTTGAGAAAATGTTGCTTCTAGTTTGAGTGAAAAAATATGATCCTGTTTTAGCATTGTCCCTAGACAGGACTTTTCAAATATTAAGTTGAACCACTAACCCTTTGGTTAAATTAGGATTATTGCCTTCCAGAAAGACTATGATGCTAAGGGCATCTGGTATGAGCACCGTCTTATTGACGACATGGTTGCTCAAGCACTGAAGTCTAGCGGTGGTTTTGTTTGGGCTTGCAAGAACTACGATGGTGATGTTCAATCTGATGTTGTTGCTCAGGGTTATGGTAAGAATTTGATGCATAGGTTATTGGTTTTCACATATAATGAATACTGCTTTAAGGAGCAGTTTATTAGCATTTGGAATACATACCAAAAAAGTTTTATTTATTCAGTATGGCAGGCTATGGGGGAAGTGTCTATTGAATCTGTATTGATGGAGCTGCATGATCTATGCAAGTGAGGAAGCCATCTGACCACTATTTATTTTCCACAGGTTCTTTGGGTCTCATGACTTCTGTCCTCATGTGCCCTGATGGTAAGACCATCGAGTCAGAGGCTGCTCATGGAACTGTAACAAGACATTACCGTGAGCACCAGAAGGGTAACAACACCTCAACCAACCCTGTTGCTTCCATCTTTGCTTGGACTCGAGGCCTTGAGCATCGTGCCAAGCTTGATGGTACCCCAGAGCTTGCCAGGTGGGTTGCCCCTTTTCTTTCTTTCTTCCCCCCCCCCCCCCTCTGCCTCCTGGGAGGTGAGGGACTGACAAATTCAGTGATGTGAAAATCTTTGCAGTCTTACCATGTGCAGCAAACATGCTACCTGAGTTCTACAATCATATCTTGTACAGGCACAAAATCATTATTTGCATTTTCTGCAGCATCACAACTTGATATTAAGTAGACCTTGTTTTTATATAGCCATCATCTAATCTTCCATATGTTATGTTTAGTCTATTCCCAAAATGTAATGGACTCCTTTTCTCCTAGGTTTGCTCAAGCCCTGGAGCTCGCTTGTGTTGACACTGTTGATGCTGGCCAAATGACCAAGGATCTGGCTGGCTGCATCCATGGCATCAGGAATGTGAAGGATGGCATGTACCTCTACACCAATGATTTCCTGGAAGCTATCCGTGAGAACCTTGCAAAGAAGATGGCTGCCTAAATCCATTGATCCATCAATCGCCTCATGTTAGCAGCTCCCTTACATCTGTCCTACCATAGCAATATGAATGAAGACTTTTTTTTTTTTTCTTTGTAGAATAAGACATTTGACAATGATCCTCTTCATACAAACCTATGTAGGACACCGTAAGGATATGTTGGTACAAATCCTCAATCATCATAAGCATGTTGAATCCTTCTGAAGCAACCACTGATAATTTAACCATTTAAAGAGATTCCCACATGCACTTCACCATGGGAATCCAGTTTTATTTTTTGCTTTCAGAAATGCCATATACATTTTTTCTTTTTCATAAAATGTGTGGATATTTCATACATGTGGCAAGCTATTAAATGATCTATAGGAATGGTCAGGGAAATAATGGCAACACTTTTTATAACAGCACTTGAAAAATTGCATATCCTATCAATTAACAAGTGTCAGATGAGCAGTACTGCAAAAGATAAACAATGCAACAAACCTCTACCTTGCCCCCAATAGCTGCAAATTTTTCTCCAAAGTACAGATATCTAGAATCTATGCAGAAATTAACTTGATTAGGGTAGCACCCGTGGTGTCAAAACCGCGGGGAATTAAAATTTGAATTTTGCAATTTCATAGACATGAGTATATTTAGTCATTCCAGACAGGTGATGTAAATGAATAATATAAATAACAAATACAAGCATTTTGTTTCCTTTCCACCATCCTATATTAAGAAATGAACTGGAAGGTAAAGTTAAATGAAGCTTAGATTGTGGTAATGAAAATTGATGGCCAATGACCTGTTACTAATGCAATATCAAATGATCCAAGAATGGGTTTGTAGCAATTTCTGAAATGAGGGGGGGGGGGATCTCCCGCAAAGGACTGGTAAAAGATAAGAACACTTTAAAATATACATGTATTTTCACTTTTTACAATTTTTAATTTCTTCAAATACCTCTTGCGTTATGTTGCATGAAAGGAATCAATGGTTAAGACACAGTGGAGCAACAAACTTGGTTAAAAAAAAAAAAAAAAAAAAAAGTTATGACTAGGGTAGATTTCTAAACCTGGTACAGACTTATAATAACTTGGATATCATGAGTGGAATGCCATTGTGGAACTGTTGGAATATGGGCGGGTAGAACATTTGCTTCATAATGGCAGTTTCTATTTTCTCTTTCCCTTGAGGTAGAAATGCATTGGACAATTAAACATTCACAAAAAAAAAGTTATAAAACCCTTTCACTGATGATAATGGCCATGAAGACTGACAAAAGAATGGTATTATAAATATACTATAAATATTAGCTTGGGATAGAAAATTCAAGGGAATTGTTTAATATATAGCAAAAAAATTAAATCTCTAAGCTAATGACAGTTGTTCATATATAGAAATTTTAATTCAATTGCTCTAACTGCTCAGGCCTTTAGAACACCTTACAAAAACTTTACTGCAAATAACTTTTCATGGCTTGGAATTTAAATATTTTGTTTTAAAAATATTCCCTTGTATATCATCATGGTGAAGGGATGTGAACCAAAACAAATGAAGTAAAACCATCCAACCCACATATTCCTGGAAGTTTGACAAAGTGCCTCCAAAATCTTAATGTCAGATGATCATTTAATATGAACTAATCATGGAAAGAAATGGGAAATGATTTTCAAGATTAAAAGTGGACATAATGTTCCTTTTAATAATAAAAAAGAATAAACAAATTTAAACTACTGGAAATACAGTAAAGGCCTGTTCACATAGGCAGGCATGACCATTGGGCAACTGTGAAGGTGATGTCACAGGTGGGAAAAGAACATGGAAACTTTTTACCCCCCCAACCCTTGCTCATTACCCTGGGGGGGTTTAGGAGGTGGAGACTAAGACTCAATGTTTGGATCTCAGCACCTAACCTCAACTAATTTTGTAGGATCTTTTCTTCTCCCTCTTTCCTTTTCCTTTTCTTCATCCCCTTCTGTCCACTTACCCAAATCGTTAACACCTATTTACTCTTTGCCACAATGCTTTATCATAATGTTGTGCAACCTTTATTGCCAGGTACATTTGTCTTGACCATTTTGGAAATTCACAAACACTGCCTTACTGAACCATAAAACTTGACCTGGGGGCTTTACCCCAAGTCCCACCCTACTGCTATGATTTGTATATGGTGCTAATGACCTTAGATGATGTGGCAGAAAGTTTTCAATATATAAATTACCATCCCCTCAACCCCTTACTTATTTTTACTGTGGTAGGGGCTTAACTCATTGCCGCCGGGGAAAATGAACAAAAAATGGGGAAAATGATGTACTCATTTTTTATATTTTTGTGAAATATCTCTCTACATAGATGGCTCTGCTAGTCCTGATCTCATCTTTCCTTGAATTGGCAGGAAAAAACGTATTCTTACTAGTGCTATAAATATAGATGTTGTTATTTTTAACAGCAAATTAGGATAACGTTAAATATTTTTGTAAATTGATGAAAAGGGTGAACGGGCGAGACAGGCAGTAATCGTAATTAGCTCACTGGTGACTTAGTGCAAGTGTAGCCATCTATGTGTAAAAACAATCAAACAAGTCGACTCACAGTGGGCATGGCATGTACATACATGCCATCCC